CAGCGTAATATTCGGGCTGTGTACGACTTGGTTTGCGAGTATTCACATCGATCATTTATTTTACTTCTAATCAAAGAGAAACAAAAGAACGTAGCTCAATTATTTTTACGTTACAACTTTTTTGAACTTAGTTGAATTAAAACGAAAAATTTCCTACTTATAATTTTGAATAATTTAAGTAGCATTTATGGTCCGTTTTAAAAGAAAAACTTTTTTTTTATTTAATTGGATTAAAAAACTGCATTTTCTATTCACAATTTTGAATTAAGCAGCATTTCAAAAATAATATTATAATATTTTGTGTGCATTCATGAAAAGTATTCATTTTAACATTCGTGGATTAATATTTCTGAAAATTTGAATCCATTTCAATTCATTTCAATTCATTCTCGTTTGTTGAACATTTTCACATTCAGGCTGTCTTATACTGATACGTGGATTTAGTGCTATAGCGTTATGTTCATTAAATTTCCGTTATCAGTTGCTTTCTTAATTCTCGTTTTATTTTCTACATTTCCTGTTTTTTGAAAAGCTTTATTATTACCCAGCAAACGAGAATGGATTGAAGTGGATTAAAATGGATTCAGATTTTCAGAAATAGAGATTCATGAGTGTTAAAATGAATCCTTTTCAATCCTGAATGCATTTTTATTCATTTATAGAAATTGCATAAAGCAAATGTCTATGCTTTTTTAATCCTGAATGCATTTTTATTTATTACTAGGAATTGTATGGAACATATCTCTATGCTTTTCAATCTAAAAATAATATTAGCTTTTTCTGTGCATTGTGAATACTGTTCAATTCAAAATTTTGAATAAAAAATACAGTTTTTCAATTCAATTGCATCCAATTTTATCAAATTAAATCCAATTAAACTGAATCCAATTAAATCCAAAAAAAATATTCGCTATTTAAAATACGCGCATTCGGATAGAAAAAAATTTCAATCCATTTTAATCCATTCGCGTTTACTAGCTAATACTATTGTGTCATTTTGGATATGCTATTTTGAATTCAGAAAAAAGTTTTATTTGAGCCGTCGCAGACCTCATTTTTTTCAAAACTGTTTTGGGCAAGGGGGGGAGGTCCGCTTCACAAAGAATGCCCTATATAAGAGAATGAGATATACTTCGCAGATAAAATTAAATCCAAAGTAATAATGCTCCAAGTCAAATTTAACTCTGTCTGTTATTTGCAATATAAATTGCTAAATCTAATTGAAATAAATAATTTAATAAGCTCTAAATATATACTATCATTCATGACAGTTCGGACACTTGCATAAATTTTATTAAATGGATGATAAAATTTAAGACATTATTGTAAAACATCAATTATTATTTTATCAAAGAGCAACCTTGTCCTTTACGTTTAATGACATTTTGTTATTTTTAAATAACAGCGGTGTAAAGACTCTTTATGTATAAACAAAATAAACAAAATAAATGGCGAAAAAGAGTCGTCGCATAATATATATAATTAAAGATAACAGTCAAAGATACATAAAATAAAATAAAAAGTACAACGGCGTATATTAAAATATAAAACAAACAAGTTTCGGCTGCTGGATTGAGCCCTCCTCAGATGTAAAAAGAATATAATATAAAAGACATAAAAGAACATAAAAGAATACAACAGAAAAAGATAATAATAAATCGATAACATTCAGTGACGCAACATTTTTAACGCGCGGAAATCAGCAAATGTGATGGATCTCGACGTAGCTTAATGTTGTATGTGCGATGGGGCAATCAAACCGATGTTAAGAAACATAGTCAAGTGCTGACTGAAAAACGGAAAAGGAAGGGAACTCATAAAAAACAAGTAAACTAAAAAACTTAAAAACTTAAAATCAAAACACGCCGCAGATAAGAAGCCAAGTGCTCACTCACCAACGCATCCGAACAGGAAATGAAAATCGCCGCAATGCATGACAAGTGTGAAAATCCCTGACAATGATAGGGATGTAATCGTCGAAGTCAGACATGTCAACATCGCACGTGACACCGACCGCTCGCTAAGACGACACGCGACGCACTGAGAGAGGAGACGGGTCGACAGGATCGAAAGTCAGACTTTGTTTATTATCGGTAGATATGCCTTATTAAGACCTTCGCGGTGTCGGTCTGCAAATTAAGACTGTTCTTCTGTTTTTTAATATGTAGCATCTCCGAAATCAAGCGCTTTCTATACGAAGGTTCCTCGTCTAATATCAGAACATTGTCCCATTGAAAATCGTGATTGTGACTCAACCTATGATCGGTGATGACAGAGCGGGCAGAAGTTTTATGTCTAATATGATTACGATGTTCGGCAATCCTGGTTTTTAATTGCCTGCCCGTCTGTCCAACGTAAGAAGCGTCACAATCATTGCACAGAATTTTATAAACAACGTTGCTTTTCGAAGTGCTGGGACAAGAATCCTTCTGGACTCTTATATATTTGCCCATTTTGTTAGGGCTGCGGAAGGCCACCCTGATATCACTTTTGCTTTTGTTCAAAGATCTAAGTTTCTCTGTATGAAGCGGAATGAAAGGTACCGTAAGCCAAGAGGCAGACTTATTAGTTAGGTCAATGTCAATGTTTTTAAGTTTTTTAGTTTACTTGTTTTTTATGAGTTCCCTTCCTTTTCCGTTTTTCAGTCAGTACTTGACTATGTTTCTTAACATCGCATCGGTTTGATTGCCCCATCGCACATACAACATTAAGCTACGTCGAGATCCATCACATTTGCTGATTTCCGCGCGTTAAAAATGTTGCGTCACTGAATGTTATCGATTTATTATTATCTTTTTCTGTTGTATTCTTTTATGTTCTTTTATGTCTTTTATATTATATTCTTTTTACATCTGAGGAGGGCTCAATCCAGCAGCCGAAACTTGTTTGTTTTATATTTTAATATACGCCGTTGTACTTTTTATTTTATTTTATGTACCTTTGACTGTTATCTTTAATTATATATATTATGCGACGACTCTTTTTCGCCATTTATTTTGTTTATTTTGTTATTTTTAACTTCAATATATGTCAAAATTAATCCATTTTTTAGTTTCAAACTAAAGTATTCATATTAATGTATGAGCTTAGTAAATAATAATTTAAATTTGTCAAATTTTATATTTTCAACAGTTAAATTATTTAACTACAACGTTTTAGTTAAATTAACGACATATTGAATAGAAGCAAGGCCGATATGTAAGAATTTTTAAAAAATAAATAATTTAAAATAGTTATAATACAATACTATGAATTTAACATATTATACTCTTCAATATATATTTTTAAGATATTTGTACATATCAATACTAGTTACAATACCTTTGAAAATTATTTTCAATTCTTCATACCAAAATACATCGAGCTTATTTTGCAGAATATTTATAATAGTAGAATATAGATAGTAGAATATAGATAATATCGTAGTAGAAATAATAGTATGATAGTATGATAGTACAATATTGATAGTATGAAATAATTTTTGAAAACTCGCTTTTGTTATATAAAATAAAAAATAATTTTTAAAACCTTTTCTTGCTTATCCTTATCTGTAGCGTTAGAATGTGTATACAAATTTCCTAAAATATATAAAAGAATAACACAATTGTTATGTAATGTCCCTATTTTGTACATAATCATTCCATAAAATTTAGATAAGTGTCCGAATTTTGAATACTTGTAAAATTACGCATAAGACAGTCAAAATTCTATT